ATCTAGTGAAATGAATCTGATGTGAACACATATTTCATTTCAGAGCTCCGAACAAATTTAAACGTATGATGGAGGAAAAAGGTGCTGGTCTTCAAGAATACCCACAGGTCAACCCGGGGGTCCCCGACGCCGTCTCCCCTCACCAAGTGCAGTACAGCATGGGAGAGGCAGGAGCGGCGGCCCAGCCGCCAGTATACGGTTATGACCAGCCTCGCCCAGGCCAAGGTCATATGCCACCTCAAGGTCAAATGCCTCAAGGTCAAATGCCACCTCAAGGTCAAGCCTATTATGGATACAATCAACCACAGCAACCCGTTGTTCAGCAGCCGCAGGTACGTGGTCACGACACCTAAATATTTAGGTCGTGGCTTTGTAGAGCCATGGCTCAACTCGATGTGAATGCGGTCATACTATTCAGTTTGAAATCGGTATTTTCAGGTTTTAGTGTACCTTACCTAGTGTGTTTGTATGAACGCTGTTATGTGGACGAAAAAAGAAGCTTTACCAGAAAGGTAAAAGAAATGGACAGAAAGATGCTATACATTCACGTCATGACTCCGTAGTTTCATATAGTTCATAGGCGAACTGAAAGTCGTCACTGCTGCTTGTGAAGGGGGTTTATCATAATTCTCTTTCAGTTTACTCAACCGAATACTACAGTGATTATTCAGCAACAAGCCCCGCAGCCACAGGTCGTCTTCAAGCGCCCTTGGTCAACTGACCTTTGCTCTTGCTGCGAAGACATGGGAGTGTGTAAGTTGGTTACCCTCTTTAACGCAATTGCACCACAACAAATCTTCTCCAACACAATTTGACCAACCCGTCTCCTCTAGCACAATTACCCCCGAAACTTCTTTGTTAAGTTACTCCCACATCTACATTTGCATAAATTTAGACCCTACTAACTTAGTTATTAAGAAATAACCGCTTTTTTTATTATTTTCATGCTCAAACTTGCTAAAACGAGGTGAAGCCCGACAAATGTGAGGTCGGACGTTCTTTTCATTGTACTAAACAGTGCAACTTTATAATTTTCTCGCACTTGTCATGTTCACTAGTCTTATAGTATCGAGACCCATCGTTCCATAGTATCATTCATACATGTATACATTTCTTTATGACATGTTAAAAAAGACTGATCTACGTATTTGGTCCACACTGTCTACAATCCTCCTGGTCACAAGTCTGTGGAACATTGAGTTTGTATAGAACGAATTACTTTCTTGTATGACTTTCTTTCTTTTAGGCTGCATGGTTTACTGGTTGGTTCAGTGTGGATGTGGACCATGCTATGAGTGTAGCTTGTCCAGTAGGATGGGAGAGAACTGCTGCGTCCCCTTCTGTGTCCCCGGCGGCCTTATCACCCTGAGAGCCGTGCTGAGAGAAAGGAACAACATCCAGGTACATGTAATACTATGGTAGACTATTCCAGCAAAGACAGTCGTTATTATAACGTTACGGTAACGTTATAGTAACGTTCTGTGTTTGTCTGGATGACGTGTCTTGGTTAAGACAAGTGCACGTCGTGTCTTGATTGCCTGTGAAACGTTTAAAAAGGCTGAGGAATCTCGAAAATACTGTGCACAAGGCCGTTTTCACAGAACAGTTAATTAAACGGTCCTACTCGCTGCACGCCTTGAAAAGATTACTTCTATTTCTCATCTTAAGAGGTGTGAACTACAAGTATATGCGTAGATTGAATGTAATTGAATGTAATTTATAATGCAAATCATATTTACAGTGCTTTTCTATCTACAGGGTGATATCTGCAATGATTGCCTCACTGCGATGTGTTGCTATCCCTGCACGTTGTGCCAGTTGACCCGAGAGATGAACATGATGGGGCTTTAAGTAGGTCAATGTCAAGGCCATTCTGTGGGAGCGAGCCCAGGGGACAACGAGAACATGAACAACCAAAGGGATTTTTATCAGTTGAAACAAATATGAGATGTTTTGGGGGGAATCTCACGATTTTATCGGAAAATTCATTTTAGTTTGTTATTTTACTTTATTGTGTAAAAAGAACGACAAACGTTACCCACATTTAATCAAAACATATATTAAGAAATTAATAATAATAAATAATTATAAGGGAAAAGAAGAAAAGAGAAAAGCTGGATGAGGTTAAGTTGAATGCAAACTTGTGTCGACTAGTATATTCGTATTCACGCTTCAACAGGCACGGTTCAGCAACAGATTATCACAAACAGTTTAAAGACCACATTTCATTTGAAGAGGCGGACTATTTGTTTGCACCCACTTGCTATATTCATCCACGAGTGAAGTGGCGTCACAATGACCTAGTGGATGGGTTTAGGGCAAAATATTTCTTTGGCTCACCAGCCATCTTCCATATCAATCTGTTTTTGTCTAAAATGGCGCAGAATCGGCCTGTAACTCGTTGCTCAGTTTACAAGAAACAATTGGAATTGCGAGCCATTTTAAAATCGCAACTTAGTACTGTAAATACGTATAACGGTATTTGAAAAGGTTTTTTGATGTCTTTGTCAATACTCAGTTGATACAGATAAACTCTTAACTACTTTACGTTAATCCAGAATGTCATTAAGTGGATTTCTTTTTTACAGCATGATACTTATCTTTGCCTTTATTTAAACTTTTATTATAAAAAAAACATTGGAAAACACTTAATGCAAGAACAGTTGCAATAAATCTTCAAATAAGAGTTAAATGTGTTTCCCTTGTTAGCTTGGATTTCTCCTATCTTGCAGTTCCGTGTACATTTGGCTTAAAAATTTCCCAGATTGCCTATCAATGGTTCCCTCCATCAGGGCCACGGTTATTATTATATGAACATGTTCGTTGAAACGACCAAGTACAGAGAATAATAGTGAGTTTAACCAGAGACGTGTGAATATCTCATGAAAAATCAATCTGTGGCCGTGGTAGAGAGTACATGTATATCAATGGTCCTTAAGTAATTGTCACCTTAGGTTTTACATGTATCTACCTGTCAGATGTGTTAATATAAAATTGGTCACATTAGTGAAAAAAATGAAACATTCTACCATATTAATATTAATAATAAAAACATTTTTATCATTGTTTAATAAGTTGGTAGATAAGACGTAATTCCTGGTTTTGCAAGATCCCTTAAATGGGGGCATTTTAACATAGTTACAATTGTAGCACACACCGTAGAACGCCAAACAGTAATATGTGAGCATATCACGTTGTAAATTCTCGATAAAATACAAATGATATGAACGAACTAATCATTGAATACTCCAGGATGTACATATACAATGGGTCAATACGATTCGACAGGTAAATCGTGTCAGTCTGTGGGTTTAACAATAAAGGCGCAACGTATGGTTATTGATCTGTGAGGCATACGTTTTTATACTTTTTAAGGCCTCTGTTATATGAAAGTCGTGCAAAATATATTTGATTTCGGCGACCTTATGTACACAAGCTTTCAGTTTGTTAAAAGGGGGGTGATGTCTGAAATGTTTACGCTTATGGGCTGTACAAAATGGCGCCGCCATTTTGGTGTTTTGACGGGACCTACCTCGCTTCTGATTGAAGGTGGTGCATATCATACATAGTTTTGTCCCGATTTAGATCTAAATAGAACATCAGATTTTTTTACTTTTTTTATTTTCTGCTCTATATCAGTGCGCTTGAGCTTTTCTCCCTTCTTTTTATAAATTTTTCCATTTTTAACTCTTAAAATTGTAATGTTTATGGAGCATAACTGGATTTAGACTACATAAATTCTTCGCTTTTCTTTTTCTTCTTCTTATTATATATAAATCAAACGTATTTCTGGAGCTGCAGTGGAAAGATAGGCCAGGGCTGGGGATGATGAACCCCTTTCTTTTACGAATAGTACGCACAGCAGGGGCGGATCCAGGATTATTCGAAGTTGGGGGGGGGGGGGGGTCCGCAGATGCAAGCCCTCCCCCTCTCCCCTTGGCGTAGGGTTCGGGGCCCAAGAAGGGCCCCGAAATTTTTTGGTATTTAAGAGGGCGAAGGGTGCCATTTGGTACGGATTATGAACTATGATTCAGCTAGTAAAAATTCTAATTTCAAGAGGGGAAAGTTGGTGAGATTTTTTTCAGAAACCGCGGGGGAGGATGTCTTTCAATTTTCTCAACCGAACACTACATTTACTGATTAATCAGCAAGCCCAGCAGCCACAGGTCGTCTTCAAGCGCCCCTGGTCAACTGACCTCTGCTCATGCTTCGAAGACATGGGATTGCTATTCACCACAACAAATCTTCTCTAACGCAATTCGACCAACGCGCCTCTTCTTGCACATTTCACGATGAAATTTCTTCGCTGAGTTACCTCCACATCTGCATTTTCAGAGATCTCGTCCCATCTTACATTGTTATAATCCCCGCTTCTTATTACTTTCATGCTTCAAGTTACTGAAACGATCACTTGTATTTCTCATCTAGAGAGGTGTGAGCTGCCAATATCTTCGAACAAGGTAGATTAAAACTATAGTGTATCAGCTGAGGAAAAATAACGTCATTTCCTATGAAAAGGTGCACATGAAATGTCTTTGGTATTTACGTTGCTTCACTGGAATATAATTACGTTGATATAATCGTGGCATTTGGATTATCTTGGTGACCTTCGCTGCATTTATTTTGTTATTCTGAAATATTGATATAAATTAGATTGTACGGCATTCCTATGTCATGCTAGAGTTGTTATCGGTATTGGTGAGTTAGACAGTACTTCATGTAACTTTTGTTTTTCCCTGAACGAGGGTGTGGGACATATTGATTGAAATTCAGCAGAAATATTGTGCCAAGAATGACATGTTCTTGTACAAGTTAAAGCAGATCATTTTACAATCCCTTTTTCTACAGTGTTTTTCTAGCAGTGATTGCCTGACTGCGACGTGTTGCACCTTCCTGTACTTTGTGCCGGCTCACCCTGGAGATGAACGTGATGGGGCTTTAAATAGGTCAATGTCAAGGCCATTCTGAAGAAGCAAGCCCAGAGCACAACGAAAACATGAACAACCAAAGGAGTTTCTCATCAGTTGAATCAAATATGGGATGTTTTGTAGGGACTCTCGCGATTTTATCGGAAATTCTTTTTAGTTTCTTATTCAAGAACACGCGGTCTTGGTGGTTAAAAGAGAGCAACAATCGTTACCCGCCTTTACTCGAAATATATATTTAAAAATTAATGATGAAATAAAAACGAAAACATATAGAAATGAGGAAAAAAGCGGGATGAAGTTGAATGCAACACTTGTATCTACTAGTAAATTTCGAATCACTCTACGACAGACATCGTCCAGCAACACATCAGCATGAACCATGTTATGACCACATGTAATTTGAAGAGGCGGACTATTTGTTTGCACCCACTTGTTGTTTGCACCCGCTTGGTTAAGATATATATCCCCCTCACTTAAGAGCTGCATTAAAAAATCATTGGTGTTGGAATATGTCAATGGCTACGCTACGTAGGTCAATATCTTACAACTCACACCCCCAATTTACACGATGATCAGTTGCCTAGGTTTTGTGTAATAGTAAAATTTAAACTACGGGTACCCTTATAGCAATGTACAATTACAGCAAGAGGACAATTTTTTTGCTCAGAGGTATTCATCAGGGCATTCAGAAAACGTTATTAGCACAGGGCTTTTATCCCATCGGAATTCTAAGTCACACCCAGGGAATGACAATCTTTGAAAAATGAAAAATTCGAAAACAAAAACATAACTTCAATAATAACGTCAAAAAGTTCCAATGAGACTGGTTTCTAGTCCTAATTATCACTCCAGTAAGTTTGAAGATAAGAAGTAACATGATTTCATTTTAATTGCGGAGGTGGCAGGTAACGGTTTTAATGGATCTTTATATTCATGGTATCTGTCCA